TCACCGTCACCAAAATCTTCATTGACGACGTTGTCATCATCATTACCATCATCAGCATCATCATCCTCCTCATCAGCATCACAATCATCATCGTCGTTGTCATCGCCATCATCATCCTCCTCCTCATCCTCATCATCAGCATCATCATCGTCGTTATGGTCATCATCGTTGTCATTATCATCAGCACCATCATCATCAACATCATCATCATCGAAGTCGACGCCATCATCGCCGGCGCCATCATCATCCTCATCCTCATCCTCATCCTAATCATCGCCCTCGTCATCATCATCATCACATTCGCCATTATCACCATCATTATCGCCATCATAATCATCACCATCACGATCAGAATCATCGTCGTCAACATCATCAGCACCATCATAAACGTGGTCATCATCACCCGCATCATCGTCATCATCATCGACGTCAGCATCATCATCCTCGTAAGCATCATTTTCAGTAAGATCAACACCATCATCATCATCATCATCATCAGCAGCATCACCATCATCATCATCAACAGCATCATCATCTTCATGGTCATCCTCATTCTCGTCGTCATAGTCATCATCGTCGTGGTCAGCATGATGATCATTATCATCATAATCGTCGTCACCGTCGATCATTATCATTATCATCACCATCATCATCATCGTCGTCGGCATCATCATCGTCATCACCATCATCATCGTCGTCGTAATCAGAATCGTCATCATCATCCTCATCATCGGCATGATCGTCGTCATCATCATCATCAAGATCGTCATCATCATCACCATCATCATCGTCGCCATCATCATCACCTCGCAAGACATTACTGGTGGTCCTACCACAACGCGACGCTACCCGTCGCTAGGCAGACCAAGATCACCGCGCAAGCCGACCTGCAATAGGTAAACTCATGCTGAACCGTGGCCTGGCCAACAAATCAGCAATGCAAATGCTCTGCATGCATATGGAAATCTCATACCAGCCAGCGGTATCCCCAACAACACTCAGCGCCGCGAGGGGAGAAGAGGAAAGAGGACAAAGGAGGGCGAGGAGGGAGTGGGCAGCGTGGTCGCCGAAAGCGGCACTCACGCAACTCGGCAGCTTGATCTCCGGCCGATGCCAATAGAAAAAAGCACCGGCCACAAGGGGGAAGAGAGAAAGAGGGGAGAGGAGAGAGGGGGAGGCGGAGGAGAAGACGAAGCAGGGAATACTAATACGAAAAGCCCGGCATCGTAACACCAAGACTCGTGACCTGACAGCTGGAAAGACTGAATCAAACCGCGAAGCGAGGTGGGCTGACCCCGAGGTTCAAAACACCTAGGCCTCACATCATCATCATCATCATCATCATCATCATCATCATCATCATCATCATCATCACCATCATCATCATCATTATCATCATCAGCATCAGCATCAGACTCAGAACCAGCATCAGCATCATCATTATCATCCTCATCCTCTTCCTCCTCCTCATCATCATTCTCATTATCATCATGATCGTCGGCCTGATTATCGTCACTACTATCATCATCAGTACCATCATCATCATCGTCACCATCATCCTCGGCGTCGTCGACATCACCATCATCAACAGCATCATCATCAGCAGCATCATCATCATCAGCTTCATCATCACCATCATCATCATCATCATTATCGTCAGCATCGTCATCAGCATCATAGTTGTCGTCGCGAGTCACAATCATCATCACCATCGTCATCCTCAGTACAATGAGCACCATCATCATCATCATCATCATCATCATCATCATCATCGTCATCGTCGTCATAATCAGCATTGTTCTCATCATGAGCATCATCACCAACATTGTCACCATAGTAACCATCACCGTCATCGTCGTCATCAATACCATCACCAGTATCATCAATATTGTCTTCGTCATCACCCGCATCATCATCGTGATCAACATCAGCATCATCACCATCAGTATCATCATCACCATTATTGTCACCACAGTAACCATCACCGTCATCGTCGTCATCAATGCCATCACCAGCACCATCATCTTCAGCATCATCGTCATCATCGTCATTTTTGTCACCATCGCCGCCATCGCCCTGATCATCATCACTACTATTAACTTCATTATCATCAGCGTCCTCATCATCACCAACACCAGCGTCATCATCGACACCGTCGTCATCACCATCACCAAGAAGATCATCAAAGACTTCGTCGCTGACATCATCATCAGCGTCATCATCACCATCACAAGCATCATCATATTCATCGACGTCGTCATCATCACAACTATCACCATCACCATCACAACCTTCATCATGACTATCGTCGTCGCCACCATCATCATCACCATCATCATCGTCATACTCGTCGCCGTCATGATCATCATCATCGACATCCACGACATCGTGATCATGGTCGGCATGACCCTTTTTCTATTACCAATATCACCACACTCGCCATCACCACCGTAATCAACACCATCGCCGTCATGATCGTCGTCGTTGGCGACAACATCACCATCATCTCCATGGTCATCACCGTCACCGTCGTTGTCGTCGCCGTCATCATCATCATCATCAGCATCATCATCATTATCGTCATCATCATGGTTGCTGCGTCGCCATCGCATCGCCATCATCTTCACCATCATCACCATCATGGCCATCATCGGCACCGTCATGATCACCACCACCATCATCACCATCATCATCACCGCCGCCATCAGCATTAACAGCATCATCCACGCCGTCGTCATCATCACCACCATCATCAACATCGCCGTCGCCATCACCATCATCGAAGATCATTGTGAGGCTTGAAAACTGGTGGGCCAGGATGCCCGCTTGGGGCATATCTGTCTTACCTGCCACGTGTAGCTGACGCAGCCCCTAAAACAGGGGATGGTAGGAAGGAGGGAAGGGACAAGGAGAGGGAGAATGATGGAGCACGGGAGAGATTAACAGGAGGGGGACTAGGAGCATGAGAACAAGCGGCAGAACAAGACGGGCGGGTCGGAGCGGACCCTGGCAGGCGGGTCGGGCGGACGGGGCCCAGACGACCAGGTCGGGCGGGCGGGTCGCTGAAGCGTCAATCCAACATGAATCGCGAGGAAGTTTCGAACAATAGCGCGATTCCCAAGTAAATCGAGAAGAGGTCTAAAACGAAAGCGTGATTCCTGAGTGCCGAGGCGCCTCAATTCAATAAATTCCAAGGAATGACCACGCGAGAGCACAAATCCTGCATGAAGTGTGAGGAAGTCCTGCGCGCGAAGGTGATCCTGAATACATTGTCAGGAAGTAGAAGGCGGGAGCCGCTGTTGTCGCAAACCAGGGGCCAGTAACCCAAGCTGAGGCGCAAGACCTTCCCTTATAAAAATAAAAAATTGGCAAGCCCCAGGAGGGGCACTTCAATTGAAAAAACAACATGCGCACCGAGGGGGCATTCGAGACTGGTCGCTCTCATCTGTTCGCGTGCCAATCAACAAGTATATCCCAAACCCTCGGCACCCGGCCTCGTCGTCTTCGATCGTGCCTCCCTTGGGGGTATATCTGCACTGCCTGCCACGCGCAATTAGCGCGACACCTGTAACAGGGGATGGGAGGAAGGAGGGAAGGGACAATGGGGGAGGGAAAATGCTGGAGCACGGGGGAGATTAGCAAGCAGCAGATCAACTGCAAGCAGCAGAACAGGCAGCAGCACAAGAAAGAGATTAAGTGCAGCAGGGAGGATGCTGGAGCAGCAGAACCAGACGGGCGGATCGGGCGAGCGGACCCTCACGGGCGGCTCTGGCGGGCGGGCTCAGACGATTGGCTCGAGCGGGCGGGTCACTGAAGCGCCAGACCTGCCTGAATCGCGAAGAATTCTCGAGCGATAGCGCGATAAGTGGACCGTGAGGAAATCAAGAGCAAGAGCGTAGTTCCTGAGTGTCGAAGGCGCGGCGCCTCAATCATTTGCAAGGAAATCCCACGCGAAAGCACGCTTCTGTTGTAGCTCGGGGACCAGGAACGCAGTCTGAGGCTCAAGACTTCCCGTTGCAACAAATAAGGTGCAAGCTCCAGGAGGGGACGCCAATTGAAAAACGCAATGGGCACTGAAGGCGGGATCAAAACAACATTTTTCAAAATGAAAACTCAAACAAACTCAGCATCGCGGGTACCATCATCGTTCCATCATCGCATCGCTTCACCATCACCGTCATCAGCATCATCACAGCATCATCAGCATAATCAACACTGCCTTCTGTATCACAATCCTGGCACTCATCATCGGTATCATGGTCGTCATCACCAGCATCGTCAGCATAGTCATAAGCACAAGCATTATCATCACAATCAACCATCATGATCAGCGTCATCATGATCGCCAGCGCCTTCATCATAATCAGCATCAGCATCCTCACAATCAGCATCATCATCATCAGCATCATCAACGTCATCAGCATCATCATCAGCATCATCAACATCGCCATATCATTCCGATCATAATCACAGTCGTCATCATCATCAGCAGCAGCATCGTCGTCATCGCCAGCATCATTATGATCATCGGCGTTAGCCTCACCATCATCACCATCATCATCAGCATGGTCACCATCATCAGCATACTCATCATCATCATCGTCATTGTCAGCAACATCATCGTCATCGCCATCATCGTCATCGTCAGCCTCATCATCATCATCATCATCATCAGCAGCAGCAGCAGCATCACCAGCAGCAACAACATCATGATCACCGTCCGCATCCGCATCCGCATCCGAATCCGCACCTTCAGCATCATCATCAGCAGCATGATCAGCATCATCGTCATCATCATCATCTCCATCATCACCATCAGCATCATCATCAGCAGCATCAACATCGTCCTCACCATCACCATAGACATCACCATCGTCATCATCATCGTCATCGTCATCATCATCCCCATCATCATCCTCACCAATCCTTCTCTATCTCATTATCTTCCACCTCATACTCCCCCATCCTGTGATTCTGCAACGCCACCCCACATGCCCGGCCTCTGATAAGTGTGCAGCGGCGTGAGGACGCGTCCTTCACTGAAATTTGCTGCATCTCGGTCAATGGTATGCCGCAGCCCACAGCAGGTCCTGGGCGCAGAATTGCATAACTGAGCCTTGCGCAGAACTCCTCTGCCTGCGTCTACCTTTCGAGGACAACAACTGCAGCAGCAGCAGCAACAACAATCAGTTAAATACGGTTCGCTCTGTTATGCTCGTGGGCCACTGTACAGGTAACTCTCAAACCTTCGATACCCGCCGTCGTCGCCTTCGATCGTACCCCCATGGGGTTTAGTTCTTTCTTACCTGCAACGTGTATGTCGTGCAGCCCATAAGGCAGGGGAAGAGAGGACGGGGTGAAGGAGTTGACAAGGGGGGAGGAGGAGGGGGGATCACGATAGAGAGGACCAGGAGGGGGGCTAGGAGCAGAAAACACGTGGTAGAACCAGACGGGCAGATCGGGCGGGTAAATAAACCCTAACAGGCGGATCGGGACGGCGGGCCCAAGCGGCCAGGTCGACCAGGCGGGTTGCTGAAGCGTGCGTCCTGCATAAATCGCGATGGAGTGTCGAGCGACAGCGCGATTCCCAAGTAAATCGTCTGGAAATCCACAGCGGGAGCGAATTTCCTGGGTGTCGAGAGCGCGGCGTCTGAATGAATGGCGAGGGCATCCCACGCGAGAGCGCGATTTGGGAATAAATTGTGGGGGTGTATCAAGCGGAAACCATTGTTGACGTTCGGGGCCCAACAACGAAGTTTAGTAACCCTCGCTTCCCCTTAAAAACACCGCGCGAGCCCCAAGAGAAGCATTTTATTTACAAAATGCAATGGTTATGTGAGGGCCAAGGAAACAACAACAACAACAACAACAACAACAACAACAACAACAACAACAACAACAACAACAACAACAACAACAACAACAACAACAACAACAACACAACAATCATGTTAAGACTGTTCGCCCGTATCTGCTCGAGTGTCGAATAACGCGAATTTCCCAAACACTCGATACCCGCCCTTTTCGTCTGCGATCGAACCCCTTTTGGGGGTATACATTTCTTCCCTGCTGACCGGGCCCCAGCAAGCGGCGGGGCGGCCGCGGACCGTCGGCCTGGCCAGCGGCAGCGATGATCGGCGGGGCGGCCGCGGACCGTCGACCCGACCCCAACGAGGGACGGACAGGGGACCGACCACGACGACGACGACGACGACGTCGACGACGACGGCAACGACGGCGACGGCGACGACGACGACGGCGACGACGACGACGAGCGAAAGCGAGAGCGAGAGAGAACGACAGCAGGGCCACGAAGGACACGAAGTAGGCCACGAAGGGCGACAGCGGGGACACGAAGGGAATGCGTATGGGGCCACGAAGAGCGCGAACGAGCGTGGGCCACGAAGGGCAGATAATGCGGGGCCACAGAAGGCAACGATGGGGCCACTGAGGGTAGCACCTGGGCCACGTAGGACAATGAGGGGGCCACAAACGGCGACAGCGGGGCCACGAAGGGCATGCACATGGGGCCACAACGGGCGCGAACGAGCGGGGGCCACGAAGGGCATACGTAGGTTGGGCCGCGGAGGGTAAGGACGGGGCCACTGAGGGCAGCAACGGGGACACGAAGGGCAGCGAGGGGGCCACGAAGGGCGACAGCGGGGCCACGAAGGGCATGCATATGGGGCCACCACGGGCGCGAACGAGCGGGGGCCACGAAGGGCATACATATATGGGGCCACGAAACAAAGCGAGGGGGCAACGAAGGGCAGCAACGGGGCCACGAAGGGCAGCGAGGGGGCAACGAAGGGCAGCAACGGGGCCACGAAGGGCTGGAACGGGGCCACGAAGGGCAGCGAGGGGGCCACGAAAGGCTGCAACGGGGCCACGAAACAAAGCGAGGGGGCCACGAAAGGCTGCAACGGGGCCACGAAACAAAGCGAGGGGCCACGAAGGGCTGCAACGGGGCCACGAAACAAAGCGAGGGGGGCCACGAAGGGCTGCAACGGGGCCACGAAACAAAGCGAGATCCCGAGTTCTATGTAATCTGTGAAGGAGTCTTAAGCATGGGCGCGACTCCTGGGTGCCTGGGTGTCGGGAGCGCGGCGCTGGAGTAAATTGCAAGAAATTCCAACGCAAGGGCGCTATTCTTCAGAAAATTGCAAGCAAGTCTCCAGCGAGAGCGCGACTCCAGAGCGCAGGAGGAACGATTCCTGAATAAATCGTAAGTCCCAAGCGAGAGCGCGATTCTTGAAAAAATGCGAGGAAGTCTCGGGCGGGAGCGGGGGTCCTGACTAAATTGTGAGAAGTCTCAAGCGGGAGCCGTTGTTGTTGTAACCCGGGGGCCAGGGGGCCAGTTTGAGCAGGAAGACTTTCCTTGAAAAAAAACAAAGTGCGAGCCCCGGGGGGGGGGGCACTTCAATTGAAAAAATCAACGTGCACCGGTGGGGGGGTGACCAACAATAAGTATTCTTCAAGAATGAGAGTTCAACAACAACAACAACAACAACAACAACAGCAGCAGCAGCAGCAGCAGCAGCAGCAGCAGCAGCAGCAGCAGCAACAACAACAACAACAACAACAACAACAACAACAACAACAACAACAACAACAACAACGACAACAACAAAGTCGACACTGCACCTAACCCCCCGTTCACCGGGCAGCTGGGTCAATTCTTGTCCTTAAGGACAACCCTTGACCTAACCCCCCGTGGTCAGCAACTCCCCCCACCCCCCACCCCCACCCACCCCACCAGCAACCAGCAACCAGCAACCAGCACGCGGACCTCAAGCTTCGCATTGGAAATCCTCTGGGCTCCTGAAAGCAGCCCACGCACTCCCACGAGCTGAAACCATGCGTGCGCCGCCGAGCCGACCTCCGGGACGCAGATTCCCTGTGGAATCCGATAGAATCCCTATGGAATCCTATAGAACTCCTGGGGGACTCTATGGGATTCCCAAGGAGTCCTATGGGATCCCTAAAGGATTCCGAAAGAATCCCAAGGAATCCGATGGGAAGCCTATGGGAATCCTACAGGAATCCTATAGGATGCCTAGGGAAGCCTACAAAAATCCCATGGGATTCCTAAGGATTCCTAAGGAGTCCCATGGGATCCCTCAGGGCTTCCTGAGGGATATCAATGGATCCTATTGGAATCCTATGGGAATCCTACAGGAATCCTATAGGATCCCTAAGGAAGCCCATAGAAATCCTACGGAAGGCTAACGGATTCTTAAGGATTCCTAAGCACCCCCATGGGATCCCAAAGGAATCCTGTGACACCTCATGGGATTCCTGAGGCATCCCTAGGAATCCATAGGAATCCACAAAAGGGATCTGCGAACACGGACCCCTGAGGGCCCCTCTAGAGACCCCTCCCAAGCCTGAGCCCTTGCGGACCCGTCTGTTGCCGTAGCCACTGTTATGGTTCGATAGGCCCCCTTCCGCGCGGACGCCCGGGCGCCCTCAACCGCTATCAGCAGGAGGCAAGAAGAGCATCATCCTCTGATCCTCTCGAGCTCGACTCCTCTCGCGACCCTCAGGACGGATTCGCAGTGGCTTGAGCCAATAGCAGCGAGAAGTGAGGAGCACGTGACTGGGCAGGAGCCCGTCACACGGTGACGATGGCAGACCAAGGAGGAGGTGCAGCCAGCGTGAAGCGGTTCAGCGGAGACGGCAACGACGGAGCTGCTGCCTACAAGGTGTGGAAGCGTTGGGCGAGGGCGGCGATTGTGGTCCAGAAGGCTCGGGGCACTCCAGCAGAGGCTCTGGGCCCGTGGTTGTACACGCTCCTGGATGGACAGGCGGCCCTGGCAGTGGAGAACGTGGACTTAGCGGACATCAACGTGGACAACGGTGAGGAGGTGGTGTTCGACAGATTAGACGAGCGGTTTCCTGAGAAGGTGGCAGCGGATCGTCTCGGAGAGGCGATGGAGGAAGGCTTCAGCCTGCGCATCCAGAAGCAGGAGACGACGGAGGCCTACACCGGGCGCGCGCAGCTTGTGTACGCGCGGCTGGCCAAGGAAGGCGTGGACCTGCCGTCGGTCGCCAGAGGCTACCTGATTCTGCGCGGTGCTCGGCTGGGACCCTTTGGTCGTGCGACGGTGATGTCGGCGACCCATCGGAGCTGGAACGTGGAGGAGGTGTGCACGGCGATCAGGACGGCGTTCCCAGGAGTTCCACCAGGAGAGGCTCACGCAGATGGCGTTCGCGGTGGAAGAGGAGCACGGGGACACCGAGGTCGGCCCGCCGCCGGAGCCCTACCAGGAGGAGAGCGTGGAGGACGACATCACAGACGAGATCGACGCGATCGTCCAGGCGGCGGAGCCGATCGACGAGGCGGACGCGGTGGAGATCCTGGCGACGTGGAAGCAGACACGCACGGCTATGACCAAGGAGAAGTTGGACCGCGGGCTCAGGCCTCAGTGGAAAGCCCGACCAGGACAAGGAGGTCATGGTGGACCGACCCGGCACGACCTCGACAAGCTCGGCCGTAGGGTGAAGTGCTTCCGGTGCAAGAAGATCGGCCATTTCAGCAGGGACTGCAAGGAGCCCCTCCCGGCCCACAGCTCGCAGATGGTGTTCGTCGAGCCGATGGACGAGGAGGACCAGGAAGAAGCACGAGTCCAGGCAGTACTGGGAGCTGCTCAGGACGACGAGATCACCGACGGGGACTTAGACGACGAGATCAATAGCATCCTGAAGGTCCACGAGGACAATGTGCTGGCGAGGCTCATCCAGCAGGAGCGCTGGAAGCGGCTGGCGCACGAGATGAAGGAGCAGCAGGAGGACGAGTACGCGTCGGTCGAGAAGAGGGCCGCCGAGGAGGGGACGGTCCTGGGAGTGACCCACGCCGACGGCTGTTCTGTGCCAGACACGGGGTGCTGCAAGTCCCTGATCGGCGAGGAGACGTTGACCAAGCACGAGGCGGCGACAGGCAAGCAGGCGAGGTGGTTGAAGGACGCCAAGCCGATGCGGTTTCGCGGGTTCGACAATAGTGTGCAGGAGTCGGTCGGTGCTGTGGAGCTGGACTGGGAGATCAAGAACTTCATCGTGACGTTCGTGGTGTACGTGGTCCCGGGCTCTGCAGGTTTCCTGATGAGCAAGCCAGACATGAAGGCTCTGGGCGCGGCCCTGGACCTGGAGACGGACTCGTTGTACCTGAAGCGCCTTGGCCTCACGATTCCCTTGAGCGAGACGGTGGCAGGCCACTATGAGATCGATTTCCTGAACCGGGAAAAGAAGGTGAAGAGGCAGGCGCACACGTCATCAGTGCGCGTGCGGGACGTGGGGAGTCCACCCGCACGGATTTTTCAGTAGGGCCGGGTCGGAGCCCACAGGCCAGGAGAATGGTGACCGAGCTGTTCTCCCCACCTCGTATCGTGCCAGTAGCGGCGCGGTGCGGGTTCTTGGAAGGTCAGAGTCTCGACAAGGTGCACGGCTGGGATGTGGACAAGGACGACGACTACAACGCCATGTGGCAGCACATCATCGAGGACGAGCCGTACTTCGTGCACATGTGCCCTCCATGCCGGAAGCTGTCGATCATGCAGCAGTGCATGCCTTTGGATCGCCGGAAGGATCTGGCACAGCATTTCAGAGATGTGAAGTGGTCGGTGAATTTGGTACATGTGGTCGTGGAGGTCGCGATCTACCAGATGGAGCGGGGCAGGCATTTTGTCTATGAGACCCCCCCGAGGTGCGCGAGCCTCCAGGTGCCGGTGATGAAGCAGCTCCTGCAGACCCGAGGCGTGTACGTGGGCATAGCGAGCGGCTGCGAGTTCGGACTGAGGTGCCCAGACACCCTGAAGTTGATGCCCAAGAGCTGGGAGTTCGTGACGTCTGCGCCGGAGGTCGCGAAAGCAGTTCACCAGCGGTGTGGAGGAGGACACGAGCATCAACATACAGAAGGCATGCTGAAGTGTGGGATCAAGCGCACGGTGTTCAGCCAACGGTACCCCAAGAGGTTGGTAGAGGCGATCGTGCGGGGCATGCGACGACAGTGTCAGGTGGAGGCGTTCAGCTCGGAGGCCGCGTGCAAGGCAGTGCAGGGAGAAGAAGAGGACGCAGATGAAACACGCGATGTACTACGTCGGCCTCACAGCTCGATAGAGAGCAGCCTCAGGAAGTTGCATGTGCAACTCGGCCACTGCAAGAACAACGTGCTGATAAGACATCTGCGACACGCACACGCCACGAAGCAGGCGATCAAGGCGGCCAATGATTTTTATTGTCCAGAATGCGAGGGCATGAAGTGCCCCAAGGTCGCTCGACACAGTACACCAGCGGAGACCCATCTCCCTTTGAAGTACGTGAGCATGGACTGCAAGGACTTGCCGAGCTGGATCCCGGGCGAGCGGATCACCTGTCTGGGCATCATCGACGAGACGAGCTCCCTGCACCAGGTGGAGCCAATGATCGGCATGGCGGAGACGTCGAAGAACCTCATGGATGCGTTCGAGCGGGCGTGGATCCGCCCCTACATCCGTCCGAAGTGGCTGAAGGTGGACCCACACCGGGCGCAGATCAGCGACGAGTTCCTCAACTGGTGCGAGCGGCAGGAGATCGAGGTGGTGGACACAGCAGTTGGAGCGAAGGAGCAGAACGGCAAGATCGAGCACCACAACCAGTTGTTCGAGATCATGCTGGAGGACGTCATCCGCGAGGCGCAGCCCCAGACGGAGACGGAGTGGCGCGAGTGTGTCGCGGAGCTGGTGATGGCCAAGAACAGTCTCCTCTCGGTGACCGGGGTGTCCCCGATGCAGATGGTCTTCGGCCGCAACCCGGAGATCCCAGGCGACCTCTTGAAGGACAACCCCGACCTGATCGCCAACAGCGCCATTGTGAACGACCCGATCGCGGCGCAGCAGGCGCGGATCAGGACGGTCACGCGCATGAAGGTTCTCATGCAGCAGGACAAGCTGACGGCTCGACGGGCTTTGGACTCGCGGCCCAGAGTCGTGGCCAAGTACCTGCCCGGAGACATGGTGGCCGTGTGGCGCATGATGAAGAACAAGGGCATCCCGGGTAAGCGAGCCCACCACCGTTGGCGACCTGGTATCTGCATGGGCGAGGTGCGTGGCAACTACTGGGTGGCACTGCCGGGCGCGGTGGTCAAGGCGTCGCCGGAGCAGATGAGGCCAGCAGTGCGAGAGGAACGACACGCGTGGCGCATGGTGGAGGCAGAGCTGCGGACCAAGATGGTGAACCTGGAGCACTACAGCGGCCAGAGGTTCGAGGACATCACCGGAGGTGAACGACCCCCAGAGGGAGAAGCAGAACAGGTTCCTCCAGGTCCAGAAGTTCCAGCACCACCACCTGTCGTACCAGAGCCGAGAGAGCGAGAACCTGATGATCAGCCAACTGACGGAGAAGACAAACCCCCGGAGCATCCCACCGGAGGGAGACGCGTGCGTGGCAAGCAGACCATGGACAAGAGGACGGTGAGCGAAGCCTACCAGCCGCTGGAGGGCCAGATGGATGAGAACCGCGAGGAGCAGGATGAGGCCAAGCGTCCACGGCTGGAGGAGCAGACGACCATCGACGACCCGTCCAGCAGCCAGCAGCAGTTCGGAGGTGTGACGTATCCTCCGAGTCTGCCGAGCCCACCGCTCAGGGACTCGGCGAATGCACACCTGGCGAGAAATGTGGATGAAGACGTCATCGTGAACGAGGTGGACGTTCTGCTCACGCAGGGCAGTAAGGAGATCAACACCAAGGAGGACAAGTGGAAATCACCCGAGGGCCTCGCGATGATCGAGAAGGCGTACACCAAGGAAATGACGAGTTTGGTGCACGAGACCAAGGCATGGAAGCCAGTGGACTTGGAGAAGTCGCGGCTGCTGAAGACCCAGGTGCCAGATCGGATCTTACGTCCGAGGCCGGTGCTGACGTTGCGGACGGGCGACGACGGCAAGGAGGAGGTCAAGTGCCGGTGCACGCTGCAGGGCTTCAAGGACCCGGACATCCTGGACCTGGTGCGTGAAGGACGGACGGCGAGCCCTACCATGTCCACCAACGGGAGGGCGATGCTCTTGCAGACGTTGGCGTCCTGCAAGTTCGACCTGACCATCGGCGACGTGAAGTCAGCTTTCCTCGTGGCCGAGCCGGAGGCCAGGCCGAATGGCCCGATCTACGTGACGATGCCGAAGGACTACACGCTGAAGGGCTACCACCCGGAGCAGCTCTTCGAGGTGGTCAACGGATACGGACTGGGAGACCAACCTCAGCAGTGGTGGCGCACGTTCGAGCGGTACATGTTGGAGGAGCTGAAGTTCGACCAGCACCCCATGGACCCGTGCGTGTTCCTGCTGAGGGAGCCCGTGACCCAGGAGAACGACGGCCTGGTCGCCAAGGACAGGGTGTCGGTGATCCCGTACGCCACTGGTTCTGAGAGCGCCCAGCTGCGTGGTGAGCCTGGCGCGCTGTGCGGCATCCTTGGAGTGCATGTGGACGATCAGATCAATGGTGGCCGCGGTCAGCTGTGGGCCACTGCGATGGAAAAGCTGCGAGCGAGGTTTCCATTCAGAAAGTGGGTGACAGGGAGTGGGGAGTTCACAGGATCGGTCCTCACTCAGCGAGCTGACTACTCGATCGTCCAGTCGCAGTCAGAATACACGAAGGGGATCACCCCCGCGAAGACGAGGAAATCAGCTCGGCCCGATGATGTAGCTCTGCCGTCGGAGGTGCACAACCACATTTCGACTACGCAGCAAGGGAACTGGCTGGCAGGACAGACGAGGCCAGATCTGAGTTGCCAGATTTCCTTCTCCCAGCAGATCATGCCTCACCCGACGGTCGGCCAGATCAGACGCTCGAATGCTTGGGTCAGGAGGGCGAAGCAGTTTCACGAGATCTCGGTGACTTTCCAGAGTATTGTTCCAGAACGTTTGCGTTTCGTTTGCCACTCGGACTACTCCTCGAAGGACCTGGACGGGACGGGGAGGACACAGGGCGGGTACATCATAGGTGCGACGGACCCCTCCATGGCAAAAGGTCTCTTGGCCCCATGGTGCCCTCTGGTCTGGAAGTCCCAAAAGATCAAACAAGGGTGTACGTCGACACTGGCAGGAGAGAGCAAGCTTCTGAAGGCGTCTTTGGGCCACCTGGAGTGGATCATGTGCTCGTTCGCGGCCACCCTGTACCCCACGTTCTGCCTAGAAAATCGGGATCGGTATTCCAGGAAGTTCTCGGCGATCAGCGTTATCGATTGCAAGTCGGTGTTCGACCACGTGACGAAACCTGGGGCCCCTACAGGACTCGATGACAAGAAGGCCTCCATAGACATAGCGATCGCCAAAGGGAGCCTCCGAAGGTTTGGTGGTACTCTTCGCTGGGGCCCGACGGAGCTCATGTTAGGAGATGCGTTGACAAAAGATAAAGCAGAAGCAGCAGATGTACTACGAGCGTGTATGAGAGCAGGAGCGTACCAGCTAGCCGACGAGTCCGTAACCTTGGCTAAGGCTCAAAGTGAGAAGGCGGCTCGTGCGAGCCGGGCAAGTGCCCTGGGCCAGCCTCCAGGCCTGGGCCATGGTGAAGTTCGAGGCGACGGGCAGCGACGAGCAGGCCAGGGCATTTCTGCTCGGGCTGGTGGACGTCTACCCGGACGTGTCGTCCTACGTGGAGTCGGAGGCCAGGGTCAAGGTGAGGGTGCCAGCCAAGACGCTCCTGGGCGCCGTGCAGGCGAAGAAGGGCAACACGCCAGTGACGCTGCAGTACGTGGCCAACACCGGGAACATCCAGGTGATGACGGGAGTGGCTCTGGAGGACGAGATTCGGGACAAGTGCAAGATGCTGGAGAGGGCGTACGCTTCATGGCAAAGAGCACCGCTCGACCAGAAGCCGAAGTTGGAGATCAAGTCGCCGGCCACGGAGTTCTTCCGCAACAACACGGTGAAGGCGAGCAAGAAGGAGATCGAGCAGGACGGCGACGAGAAGATCACGCTCCCGGACGACGAGGGATACTCCGAGGCGATGGACGCCATCCTCGAGAGCGTCGGGTGGTCTCTTTCCGAGTACCCGGTGATGAGGGACAGGATTCTCAAGACGTTGCAGATGTACGTGCCCGACGGGGAGGAGGAGGCCACCCCAAAGCGAGCACAGGCAGTCGGTGAAGACGACGACGGCACAGGCGACTGGCAGATGGGTGACAGTGTGAAGGTCAGGAAGTGAGGAGCCAGAAAAAGAGAGTAGACGAATGCGAACACGGACCCCTGAGGGCCCCTCTAGAGACCCCTCCCAAGCCTGAGCCCTTGCGGACCCGTCTGTTGCCGTAGCCACTGTTATGGTTCGATAGGCCCTCTTCCGCGCGGACGCCCGGGCGCCCTCAACCGCTATCAGCAGGAGGCAAGAAGAGCATCATCCTCTGATCCTCTCGAGCTCGACTCCTCTCGCGACCCTCAGGACGGATTCGCAGGATCCTATGGAATCCTTACGAATGCTAAGGCATCCCTAAGAATCCTAAGGAATCCTTAGGAATCCTATGGAAGCCCCACGAATGCTAAGGCATCCTTCGGAATCCTCGGGAACCCCAGGAATCCTAAGGAATCCTCACGGGCGCTAAGGCATCCCTAGGGATCCTACGGATCCCTAAGACTCCGATGGAATCCTCACGAATGCTAGAGCACGTTTAGGACTCCTGTGGAATCCTAACGAATCCCTATGAATCCAAAGCAGTGCCTCGGAGTCCTGAGGTATCCTGCGGAATCCCTAGGAATCCTCACGAATGCCAGAGAATCCGAAGGAATCCTAGGGAACGCCTAGACTCCAAAGGAATCCCTAGAAATCCAAAGGAAACCGTAGGACGCCTAAGGATTCTGTAGGAATCCCTCGGGCTCTTTGGACACCCCTAGGACTCCGGAGGGATCCCTGGGACTCCTTAGGGACCCCTAGGAATCCTCAAGAATCCGCGGTCATCCCTAAACATCCCTAGGAGACCTACGGAATCCCAAGGACTTCTACCGAACCCATATGACTCCCAAGGAATCCATATGAATCCTTCGGGCACGCATAGGACTCCTAAGGAACCCCTACGGAACCCCAAGGAATCCTAAGGAATCCCTGGGACTCCTGAGGAATCCCTAGAACTCCTTAGGAATCCTCAGGACTCCTTAAGAACCCATGGGAATCCATAGGGGACTTTCGGGGAATCCCTGGGGCTCCTAAGAAATCCTTACGACTTCTTAGGGATCCCTAGGACTACTAAGGAATCCCTGGGACTCCTAAGGAACCCGTAGGACTCTGAAGGATCCCCTGGGGGTCCTAAGGAATCCTGAAAATCCTTTTAGGGGCCCTCAGAATCCTGGGGAATCCCTGGGGCTCCTTAGGAATCCCAAAGGTACCCTGTGTAGGTTATGTATGTGTATATTTCATAAGAACGCACACAGATGTGTATATGTATACGTAGATGTATGTATTTGTATGTATGTATTCATATACATAAATTTTGCACACCATATATATACACATATTTACAATGTTACATATGCACGTTTGAAAACATAAATATGTATGTGCATGTATATGTATATAAAAAATGCGTATACACATGAATATGTGCATATAAGTTATGAGTACGTACATACACACCTGCATACATACATACAAATGCGCAGATATGTGTGTATGTACATTCTTGGCATATGCACATATCTATATATACGAGTACACATATATATATATATATATATATACGTATAGCTGTATACACATATGGCCCAAGATTGCCCACAAAGTCTGGGCGGAGAATGCGTGCCGCTCCCAAGGGAGACGCCTGTGCACTTTTACTTTAAACAGTAGTACCCGCTCAGTGTTGTTAAACACGGTTTAACAACTCGACGCTGTCAGTAGTCCACTTGCCCTGGGGTGGAGGCTCTTCTTTTCTTTTTCTCACGGCCCTTCCTTTTTTCGGTGGCTCAGTGCGCGCCGCACTTATCGGCAGTAGCCCGTGCATCACAGTGCAACTGCCCCTCGGCAGCATGCACCTACGCCTCGTGCGCAGGCAGGAGCACCGCGCCAAGCCGCGCTGCTGCCGCCGCCCCGAGCAAGTGGGTCCGGGAGGCCTGCCAGCCTTCCGCAGAGAAAAGGTCGCCAACTCGAGTCGCCAGGTGCGCCAGGTGCGCCAGGTGCGCCACACACGCCAGGCGCGCCAGCGGCTGGGTTGCTGGTTGCTGGTTGCTGGGGGGGGGCTGGGTGGCGCAGTGCAGTGTCAATCAACAACAACAACAACAACAACAACAACAACAACAACAACAACAACAACAACAACAACAACAGCAGCAGCAGCAGCAGCAGCAGCAGCAGCGGCAGCAGCAACAGCAACAGCAACAGCAACAGCAACAGCAACAACAACAACAAAACCATCAACAACAACAACAACAACAACAACAACAACAACAACAACAACAACAACAACAACAACAACAACAACAACAACAACAACAACAAACAACAACAACAACAACAACAAACAACAACAACAACAACAACAACAACAACAACAACAACAACAACAACAAACAACCACAACAACAACAACAACAACAACAACAACAACAACAACAACAACAACAACAACAACAACAACAGCAGCAACAACAACAACAAGCAACAGCAACAGCAACAGCAACAGCAACAACAACAATCATTTTAAGACTGTTCGCCCTTATCTGCTCGAGTGTCCAATCACGCCTATTCCCAAACCCTCGATACCCGCCCTCTTCATCTTCGATCGAACCTTTTGGGGGGTATACCTTTCTTCCCTGCAGGCCGGGCCCCGGCAAGCGGCGGGGCGGCCGCGGACCGTCGGCCTGGCCAGCGGCAGCGCTGATCGGCGGGGCGGCCGCGGACCGTCGACCCGACCCCAAGAGGGACGGACAGGGGACCGACCACGACGACGACGACGACGACGTCGACGACGACGGAGACAACGACGACGACGGCGACGACGACGACGACCGAAAGCGAGAGCGAAAGAGAACGACAGCAGGGCCACAAGGAAACGAAGTAGGCCACGAACGGCGACAGCGGGGACACGAAGGGAATGCGTATGGGGCCGCGAAGAGCGCGAACGAGCGGGGGCCACGAAGGGCAGATAGTGCGGGGCCACAGAAGGCAACGATGGGGCCACTGAGGGTAGCAACTGGGCCACGTAGGACAGATGCATATGGGGCCACCACTGGCGCGAACGAGCGGGGGCCACGAAGGGCATACATACCGCATAGACCACCCTTCGGGTGATAAGGAGGTGAGGGGGGAGGAGGGACCAACGTCGCACTCGATTGATCTCACTATCGAACTCACTACCGACCTCACAATCGATCTCAATCGATGGATCTCACAATCGATCTGACTATCGATCTCACAATCAGTCTCACAATCGATCCCACAATCGATCTCACATTCGGTCTCGCTGTTGATCTCACAATCGATATCACAATCGATCTCGCATTCGATCTGACTATCGATCTCACTATTAAACTCACTATCGATCTCATGATCGATCTCACATTCGGTCTCACTATCGATCTCACTATCGATATCACAATCGATCTCACAATTGATCTCGCATTCGGCCTCACGATCGATCTCTCTATCGAACTCGCTTTCGATCTCATTATCGATCTCACGATCGATCTCACTGTCGATATCACAACCGAACTCACAATCGATCTCACATTCGGTCTCATCATCGATCTCACTATCGAAATCACTACCGAACTCATTACCGATAGTGATCTCACTACTAACTCAATCGATCGATCTCACAATCGATCTGACTATCGATCTCACAATAGATTCCACAATCGATCTCACATTCGGTCTCACTATTGATCTCACTATCGATATCACAATCGATCTCACAATCGATATCCCATTCGGTCTCACAATCGATCTCACTATCGATCTCATTATCGATCTCACATTCGGTATCACAATCGATCTCACAATCGATCTCACAAGCGATCTGACATTCGATCTCACGTTCGATCTCACAATCGATATCACTACCGATCTCACTATCGATCATCAAAACAAAACATCAACATCGTCATCATCATCACCATCATCATCATCAATATCATCACCATAATCGGGACACCGACGGGGCACCGGCGGGACACCGCGGGCCCCCGGCCGCCCGGAAGGGAGTCATTTGGTCCGGCCGCGCCTCAGCCACACGGGACACCAGCGGGACACCGGCGGGACACCGCGGGCCCCCGGCCGCCCGGAAGGGAGACATTTGGTCCGGCCGCGCCTCAGCCACAGGAGACTTTCTCTCGCCCGCCCACGCAGCTTCGCCTCGCCCGCACGGCACGCACGAACACGAAACCGAAATCGATTTCCTGGTAAGGGGGCTCTCCGTTCCACTTCGATCTCACCCCCTCACCTCCGATATGGGGCCACGAAGGGCAGCGAGGGGGCCACGAAGGGATGCAACGGGGCCACGAAGGGCAGCGAGGGGGCCACGAAGGACTGCAACGGGGCCACGAAGGGCTGCGACGGGGCAACGAAGGGCAGCGAGGGGGCCACGAAGGGCTGCAACGGGGCCACGAAACAAAGCGAGGGGGCCACGAAGGACTGCAACGGGGCCACGAAGGGCAGCGAGGAGGCCACGAGGGGCTGCAACGGGGCCACGAAGGGCAGCGAGGGGGCCACGAAGGGCTGCAACGGGGCCACGAAGGGCACCGAGATCCCGATTCCTGTGTAATCTGTGAGGGAGTCCTAAGCGTGAGCGCGACTCCTGGGTGCCTGGGTGTCGGGAGCGCGGCGCTGAAGTAAATTGCAAGATATTCCAACGCAAGGGCGCTATTCTTGAGTAAATTGCAAGCAAGTCTCCAGCGAGAGCGCGACTCCAGAGCGCCGGGAGAATAAATTCGAATCCGCGCAGACCTCCCGCAAAGATCTGCTTGCGTCCGCGCGGTTTTCTTCCGTGTGGACAATGGTGATGCAGTGTTGGGTCGGGCATGTCCTCCTACAGGGGGAGTTTGGACGAAGAACATATCAAAAGACACTCAAAAAATACCCCCAAATGGTCAAACATACCCACAACAAATCGTCCTCATACTATTTTTGACTATTATTGTAAACTCCTCATGTCGAGGGACAGGCCCGACTAAACCATAGTGTCAGCACGTGCCTTCGCATCGCTCTTATGTGTA